CACATTCACAGGGGATACAGTAAATGCCATTTTTCTTCTTTACTGGGTCTTTAGATGGTTGTTTCGTGCTAAACTAGATTGTATTGTGGCTTTTGAATATTATTCTGTATAATATTTACATATTTTCTGTGAGAAAGATTTAATACCAGGGTGTATGTCTGTAATTTTCAGGTTTATTCTCAGTGTTCGTCTTCACCAAATTGTACAGGTATCCATGGTTAAGTAGGGTTATAGTAATGTTTTTTTTCCTTCTTCTTAGCTTATTTAGTACTAAAAACTTGTTCATTCTGTAAACTAGGCAGTCTATGATGCGTGTTTTTCATTGTTGGTTTATTAATAGTTGATGTATTTACCCACGTGTATGGGTTTCTTGTAAACTCCTGTAGTGTACGAGTTGTGGGTCTTGGTAACCATCACGTCAAGGAATGGGAGTTTGTCATCTTTTTCCATTTTCATTGTGAATTGTATCACAGGAGGTGGTCTGTTTAGGTGGATCATGAATCCTTGAATCTTATCTGTAATGTGTGGCCATATTACAGATGCATCATCAACATATCAGAGTCAAATCTTGAGTTGAAGAGCGGCTGTTCTGAGGGCATTATCCTCAAATCATTCCATATCGGGACTAATGAATACTGGTGATAGAGCTGAGACTATAGTTAGACAAAGTGACCATAAATGTCAGGTGGTCAAACCAGGATACCATCATGTCAACTCAGTCTAGGCCTAATAGTGTAATATCCAATATAAATGACAACAAAGTCTGAAAACATCACATCCCTCACTCATCACGTGACTGACGTTACTGCAACAGGCCAGCAGGGTGTCATTTATATTGTTCATAATAATTTAAAAATCACACTTTACATTCTTATAAGTTACATTTTCTATTTTTTGTCTTTACTTAATAGAATAATAGTCAAAACATAATTACTAGTTTCCTTTAAATACTTGAAATTTTTGACAAATATGGAGTTACCTAGAAAAAAAAAAAGATATGTATAAACCAGAACATTTATTTCATCCCAAGAGATCTCATCAGGACACCAAGACAGAGGTCTAAAACCGGGATTGTACTGGTCAAATTGGAACGTATGGTCACCAAGTAATTAGACCTTGTTGTTGGAAATAGGTTATGTTGACACAGAAGGTTGCATGGTTTGTTATTGTGGAGATTGATAGTTGGTACATTTTATAGCTGCTTGTAGAATACTTGTGTTGTGACAGGGTTAGTGAAGTTGGATACATCAAAGTTTGTGAGGTTATTACTGTAATCTCTTAACATGTGATATTTTATCAACTAAAGGCGATATTATGTCTAAGGTCTCTAGCTAAAGGATGGCGTGGTATATCTGCAGTTAATTATGGGCTGGAGAGAGTAGCCTTGCTTATGAATTTTACACAAACTATAAATGTGTGTGTTGGGGGGTATGTTGTTGTGTCCTGTTAGTTGTTTGACTGTTTCAATGAGGGGGGATGTTGTTGTGTCCTGTTAGTTGTTTGACTGTTTCAATGAGGGGGGATGTTGTGTTCTGTTAGTTGTTTGTCTGTTTCAATGAGGGGGTATGTTGTGTTCTGTTAGTTGTTTGTCTGTTTCAATGAGGGGTATGTTGTGTTCTGTTAGTTGTTTGACTTTTCAATGGATGGGGGTATGTTGTTATGTTCTGTTAGTTGTTTGTCTGTTTCAATGAGGGGGGATGTTGTTGTGTCCTGTTAGTTGTTTGACTGTTTCAATGAGGGGGGATGTTGTGTTCTGTTAGTTGTTTGACTGTTTCAATGAGGGGGTATGTTGTTGTGTTCTGTTAGTTGTTTGTCTGTTTCAATGAGGGGTATGTTATTTTGTTCTGTTAGTTGTTTTACTGTTTCAACTTCTTTCTGATGTTTCTTGTGAAGCCGATTAATTTTCCTGTTGGATTAGACTCGATCTGCATGTTATAACCACCTTCAACTAGAGTTTGATGGAATATTTCCATTTGTCCATGATAAGTGGTATTTCCTATGTTTGCTGGTAGAATTGTTATAGTGTTGTCTTTCATCAAGTTTCTGAGAAAAACTTTTTCATCTGAGTGGTTGGTATAATACTGGGGTTTATATTTCATAGCTTTATTGACTGTTGACTATTTTCATTCAGAATTATTTTACTTCTGGCAGGCAATAAGTTATCTTCTGTTGTTGTGGTCATACCTAAAATGGGTATTTTGTTATGTGTTAGAGAAATGTTTAGTACTTTACTTATGGGCATCCTTAAGAGTCCAGTGTAACTTGGTCTGGATGCTGGCTTTAGAAACTGGTATGCAGTTTGTATAAATATACTTTGGATATCATTATACTTTAGACATTAATGTATTTTTACATTATGTTGATTGTCTAATTAGTTTTTCTCGGTCTTTCTTAGGAAAAATAATTAGTCAATATGATTTTTTTTCTGACATATCAATGGCAATTTCTCAAAACCCAGGATTTGTGGAAAAAATTGAGGACCAGTAGATGATGCAATATATTAAGTTGGTGGACTGTCACTGTATTTTTTTTTGAGTAGATATACACAACACAAGTTGGTTACTTTTACTTTCAAGCTCATCAATAACATTACACTAAAAAAAATTGTTTGTCAAGAGTTTACAATAAACACGCAATCCTTCAATCCTAATCAGCACTTTCATTTTATCCAATTCTTTTTAAATTCGTGTGTAAATTGAGTTTTGAAACACTTAGTCACCAGATTTCAAGACTGTCAGGTTTTCCTCAGTGATCTACACAAACCAGACTACTTCACAAATGTCACTGTACACATGGCATGAAATATATATAGTCATACACAAAATACAGTACAATATATTTGTTTTTTGTTGTTTTTTTTAATTAGAGAAAATATCTTGCATGAAGCTTTATATAGTTACAACCAGATGTGAGATCATGTCTCCATAGTCAAAGCAAAATGTTATGATAATAATTTGTGGACATCATTCCAATTAAGTACAGAACAACTACATGCACTTTTACTCTCTCATTCTGGTACAAAGATGAACAAGCAAGAGAAAATTCTGTAACCTTCCTTAATTGGAGGTCTAATAGACCTTAATTATCCTGAGGTCATACATATTTAAGAACATAGCCAATCCTGTTGAACTGCTACTTGCGATTCGTGATTCCACAGGTATAAACATTTCTTTTTCACATCAAAAATGTCATAATGACATATTTGCCCACTTACCTGAACCAGAATATTATATAGGTGTGGTTGTGTGGACAGAATGATGACAAATTCTGTGGTTCATGCTTTATAATTTACTGATATGAAATATTACATAGGTGTGGTTGTGGGACAGAATGACAAATTCTGTGGTTCATGCTTTATAATTTACTGATATGAAATATTACATAGGTGTGGTTGTGGGACAGAATGATGACAAATTCTGTGGTTCATGCTTTATAATTTACTGATATGAAATATTACATAGGTGTGGTTGTGGGACAGAATGATGACAAATTCTGTGGTTCATGCTTTATAATTTACTGATACGAAATATTACATAGGTGTGGTTGTGTGGACATAATGATGACAAATTCTGTGGTTCATGCTTTATAATTTACTGATACGAAATATTACATAGGTGTGGTTGTGTGG